TGCAGTTATTCTTGTTGGGAGCAGCTGTGTGAAAGTTGAACACAGCTGATACTTTATGTACTTAGTACCAGACAAATGGCCAACAATGAATCTGCCTGCTCTGGTTTTGTTATATTAAAGCTTAGCATCAGCCCTTTGTAGTTTTTAAAACTGGGGCTCGCTCCTGCATGTTGTAGTGTACCAGCTAGGGGCCAGAATGCCTATTAGGTAGGTAGTAGGTATGCGACTGTGAGACGTGGCAGCCCTCATGCATTCAGCTCTTCTGTATAATGCAGAGTACTGATATACATTAATTAGCAGACAGCTATAAAAACACTAAAGTAACTACTGTTAATCAAATGTAAAACCAGTGTCTGGTTTGTTTGTATGTTTCCTGTACATAAATTAAAAGCCTCTTAAGTTATTCAAGTGACTCAAGGTTGTGACTTTTCAAATCAAACTGTTGAAAGTAGGGTGAGGTTTCTGTTGTGCTTGTGCACATGTATCACAGTCTCTTGTTCTGTGAATATTACCGGCATGTAGTGTCAGCGTGTTAAAAATTGAAGTACAGTGTGAAACAGCTTCTACTTTTCTGCTTCTGAGCTGATGACTTTTACCAACAAATGAAGCGATTCCAACATGGCTATTGTGTAGAGGCTCTGAAATACAGAATCTCTTTGCTGCTATTCTTGATACTGAAGTGAGAATCCTAAAGCCACCAGGGTGACTGTAAAATCCTCTCCGGCACTGAAACTTTACACACACCTATTCTGTACAGCAGCAGCTCCAATGATGTTGCTTCAAGCACTTGGAAATGGCCTGCTTTTTGGATCTAGCAGTCTCAGATGGTGTAACCCTTTGCGTCTGTGCAAAAAAGCAGGAGCTGGAGCCAGCTTCTCATGACCGCAAACACGGTTGCAGCAAGAAGATGCAATTCTGTGTTGAGGCTGTAACAACTAGGTTGCTACTCTTGAATTCTCCAATGGACCAATTAGGTCATGTCTGTTTCGAGAGAGGCAAAATGTTTTGCTAGAAGCCCAGCTTCAGTAGGATTGTTTTGTTGCCTAGTTCCATACAAGCTTGAAATAGCTGTTTAATGGCAGCTGTATTTGTGAAGCCCTCCTGAAGTGGGAGTGGAGACAAATGCAGAAGGGAACTGTGTGCTTTCTGTGATCTTGTGGAGGTTCAGAGGGTGACTTATATGTGAAAGGGCCAGGCTTGCTACTTTTTCTACCTGGGTGAAAAGTATGAAGCTGTAAGCGCTGCTGACACTTGTACTACAGGCAGCTTCCTAATTGACTTCAATTGCTAATATGACTAGCTCCTCCTGTCAAAAATCTTGACTGACCCTTGTAGAAGCCATTTGCTGTAAGGAGCAGTAGGAGGCTGCCTCAGTCACCACGCCTCACAGGCTTGGAGATTCTTGCAAGATTGTATGCATGTCAGATGTTTAGGCGTTTATACTGCCACTCATTCGTACTACTTTGCACTGTTAACTTGCTATCAGCTGTCTCTTGAAGTGTGTGAAGTAGCACTGTATTTGGTCAGGAAGGGCCTATATGTGCTGTGTTGCCATGGTGTCACTTCAAAGTTTTAACACTACATAGTACATTTCACTGGGATCGCTTGATTAACGACCACAGTTGGGCAGCATGAAGCTAGGCTGCTGGAGGAGGGGTGGAGGGAGGGCTGCTGAGTTAAGGGATATGCGTTTGAGAGAGGAAATGGGACTGCATCTGGAAAGGTCTCAGGAATGATGTACTTCCATCATCACTTGAACAGCACAGCTGTAGTGCAGTGAGGGATATGTAACTGTATAGCCACTTACACGTTTCTCAGCCTTGTCTTCCTTCTAGCAGGCTGATTAAAACCTGTTTTATTGTCTCTGTTAAGGTGGCCTCTGCCAGGGTCTAAAAACAAGTCACCACTGAAGATCTCAAATACTCAGCAATGTTAACATTCCTTAGATTTGGTCACTTTACCCTCCTGTCCTCTGAAGCATCACTCTGACCTGGGCTCATCTCTACACCTCTGCCAGCTCTCTGGAATGATGGAGTATCAGTAGGTTGCAGCATGCTTCTACAGCCCCTGGGAATTGTAGTTTTCTGATGTCAACATTCAGTTTAGTGAAGTGCAATGAAACGTGACTTCCAAGAGAGGGCTTTGCTGCACAGCCAAAGAGGAGCTGTAGGTGCGTGGGGAAGCATGATGCTCAAAGGGATGGGGAGGGCAATGTGAATGCCTTCTTTCAAGAATCTTTTGGCAAAAAGCAATCACTTCAAACAGTAAACCACTATGTTGCTTCATCAGTCCTGTATACTCCCCTTTGCTCTGACCAAGACTGGAGGGACATGCTATTTGTGTTGGTCACTCTTATGTGGGGCATTTAAAGTCCTCAGGAATGTAAAACTGGGGCTTCAGAACGCTTCTCTTTTACTCTGTGTCCACCGCCATCTGCTGGTGGTTGTAATACCTGCCTGCTACTAGAATCAGGGGTAACTGTACTCACTGTAACTGGCTGAGTGAGACCAGCCAGTGCAGCAAACACAATCTGCTTGGAATTTGGCTGGAACGTGCTCTGAGCCCACTCACCCTCCCCATTGCTGCACAGCATTGCTCCCACAGCCAAACTTCTGCCAACCTGCGGGACCACAAAACACCCGAGAGCCAGACCTTCCCACTGCATACTTACACTTACATGATGCTTTGAGTCAGTGCTCAGGGGGGAGATCCAGCTGCTCCTTTGTGTCCTCATCCTGGCTTCAGCGTATGACCATGCATGCCTGGAGGGAGAGAGCAGGCTCATGGCCTAAGGTGCTACAGCTGACCTGTTCTTGTGCCGTTCTTGGTTATTGTTCATTGGTGTTTTGTTCTGAGCCAGCAGGCAGCAAAATCAGATTAAGGGGTGAGTACATACACTAAAGTTATTTTTCTTAACAGATGGTGTTCTTAGATTACAGGAACAAGCTCTCCAGGCCCTAGTGCACATGTGGTCCATTGCTGCTATTTTCTTTCCTAAATAGTATCCCATGTGGTGACTGGGACGAGGAAGGTGAAAAAGTCATTAACAAGGTCAGGCACAATTTCACTCAGCTGTCAGAATCTCACCCCCACGGGACAGAGAGGGAAGGGAGAGGTGCCACAAGAGAAACTGAAAATGACAGCAGGAATATGTGAGACCACAGAATAAAAAATCAGCAGGATGACCAGGTTCTTGGAGAAATGCGGCCATATATGAACAAGCAATGTCTTGGCTTGGAGGAGTCTCAAAAATGTGCACGGAACGGAGCTGTCTAATTGCCATTTCTCTTTCACAGAAAAAACTAAGTACAAACTGTAACATGAATTTCCCTTCCAAAAAAATGCTTAAACTAAGTCTGCTAGAAGGACTTGACTGAAAAGCTGCTTACAGCCCACAGGACGGGGGGAAAAGGATTCAAACTAACGTCACCTTTGGCTGTTTCTCGTAAAAGTAACCCCCTCCAAATGCACTTAACAAAATACACTTGCATTCCTTACTGGGAGGACAGTTCTGCAACTGGTATCGTCTGTGTATTTGTGTCTATAATTTCTGTTTGACTTCCCAAATCCACAAATGATGGTATTGATTCAAACAACTATAGACGTGCATAACACTGCCTTGAGGAATTCTGAGTATTTCAATATTGTCCAATGCTGCCCCAGTCTTTGTGAGCTGGTTCTCAATTATATGTCATCCCCTTAGAACCTGCATGCTTGTACTTGTCCCCCTGTGCTTTCTTGAGCCCTTCTTGTACACACAAATAATAAACAGGTAAAAAAGAACTCTGCTGAAGGGTTGACTGCAGTGTCCTATCAATGCTATATCGGTGCTGTGCTGCCAGGAGGGTTTTGTGTGAGTTCAGGCTAATGAGAGCTTTTATCACACAGAAAAGCAATCAACATCTGAGTGGCAGTATTAAGCACTGTAAAAAAGTAAATGAAGTTTCCACGCTGTTGTGGGAGACGTTTAGACAACGGAAAGCTTCCATCTATAACTCAAAGATGGTTTCAGCCTCTGCTAAGGTGGATGGCAAACTGCCCTGTCTGGTTGACCTCAACAAGTCTGTTAGAGAGCTCTGCCAACAACTTGCCCTCTTTTCCCAGTTTTTCAGCTCAAAATGGGAGGTACCTCCACTCCCAGGGCGGACGGGGAGGCTGCGGCGCAGGCACCACGTCCCCTGCTCCGCCAAGTCTGTTAGAGAGCTCTGCCAACAACTTGCCCTCTTTTCCCAGTTTTTCAGCTCAAAATGGGAGGTACCTCCACTCCCAGGGCGGACGGGGAGGCTGCGGCGCAGGCACCACGTCCCCTGCTCCGGTCTCGGCGCTGGTCCAGCGTCACGGCTGCCTGCCGGCCCTCGGCGTCCTGCGGG